AAAAAAATTTATCAGTTAATTCAAAACTGAAATGAACTCAATATAAATTTAAGTTAAATAATTGTCTTCATAATATTAATTGATATATAATTATAAAGGTACAATTATTAATTTTATCTTATCACAACTGTACATATATAAAGTTATATTTACTCTAAAATTTTATAATTTAACATTATTATCTCTTAATCTAATTATTTTGTTTGTTAATTGGTTTACAACTTATTCCAAATTATTAAATAATATTATCAAGTAACGCGGCGCATGTATAGTTACATATGAAGCAATTTAGCTATCCGGCCATCCCAAGTTTCCATTTAACAAAATGATCATGAGAATCTTTTGATTTTTTTTTGGGTGTTAAAAATTTGACGTGGCTAATTAAGAGTAATTAAAGCAGCCAAACGGATTTGGGTTGAAAAGATTTAAACATTGTGGGTTGAGTATAATAAAGAGAAGTTGATTTAAAATTGAAAGGCAAAACACATTTTCTCGGGTTCTTTCTCTCCCTCGTTTTTTTTCCAATTTTCTGTAATTTTCTCAATTTTTGCTCTTTGCATTTTTTTAATTCCTTGACATTCCCGATTAAGTTATAATGGCTGAGTCTTAAAGAAACAGAAAAAAAAACTCTATATACTCCCAAATTGTAGACACGAATGGGCCTACCATAAATGGAGAAGAAGAAGTTGTGGTGGAGTAACTTCTGATGACTGAAGTTGCTCCACTAGGAGAGAAGACGGCGTCGACGGAAGACATTATTGGCGAAACAAGGGGCAAGAGTTGAATGAAACTGAAGAGGAGGATGCCGACGCAAATTCCAAGCATCGGACATGATCGCTTAAGCGATCTAAAATCACTTAAGCGACCAAGAGTAAAAGCAAGGATCGCTTAAGCGATCTGGTATATGACAGAAGATCGCTTAAGCGGATCTGGTAAGCGATTTTAGATCGCTTAAGCAATCGTGCATCTGGGCAAAAGTTGATTCTGCCGACACACGATCACATTAGAGCGACCAACGTTAAAGCAAATGATCGCTTAAGTGATCGTGCGTCTGGGCACTTATTTATTTTTCGTGTTCATGATCGCTTAAGCGACCAATAATAAAATCGAGAATCGCTTAAGCGTATTAAGCGATCCTGGTTTGGGCACTTATTATGTCTTGTTCATGATGCTTAAGTGACCAATAGTAAAGCGAAGAATCGCTTAAGCGATACACTTAATCGCTAAGAGATTGTGCATCTAGGCAAAAGTATTCTACCTCGGATGTAATCGCTTAAGCGACCAAGGTTAAAAGCAAAGGATCGCTTAAGCGATAGAATAAATCGCTTAAGCGATGTGCATCTGGACACTTATTGATTTTGTCTTGTTCGTGATCGCTTAAGCGATCTATGATCGCTTAAGCGACCAATGTAAAAGATAGAATCGCTAAGCGATAACAAATACAACCAGATCTCTTAAGCGACTAAGTCTAAATACACAGGATCACTTAAGCGAGAAGAAATCTCTTAAGCGATCCAGTGTTTTGGATATTTTTATGTATTTTACTAGATTGGTTAAGCGATTAACACTATCTTAGACATATAAGGTATACGATTCATTCAATGGACCATGACCTATTATATTTAATAAATTAGTTCTTTACGGTATATTAAACATTTATGGTATATAATTTACATCTATATTAACAATCAGGTGTACGATTCGTTCAATGGCCAAGACCGACAGTATTATATTTATTAAATTAGTTTTTTATGGCTATATTAAACATATATGGTGTAGAATGTTTACGTATATTAAACATATCAGGTACGATTTGTTCAGTAGACCATGACCGTTTTATATTTTAATTAAATTAGTTCTTTTACGGTTATATAAACATATATGGTGTAGAATGTTACGTCTATATTAAACATATCAGGTGTATGATTCGTTCAGTGGACCATGACCTTATTATATTTAATTAAATTGTTCTTTTACGGCTATGTTAAATATATGGTGAGAAGTTTACGTCTAATTAACATATCAAGTGTACGATTCATTCAGTGGTCATGACCGTATTATATTTTAATTAAATAGTTCTTTTACGGCTATATTAAAAATATATGGTGTAGAGTTTAATTACTTATATTAAATCATATCAGATGTACGATTCATTCAGTGGACCATAACCGATATTATATTTTAATTAAATTAGTTCTTTTACGGCTATATTAAATATATGGTGTAGAATGTTTACGTCTATATTAAACAATCAAGTGTACGATTCGTTCAGTGGACCATGACGTTATTATATTTTAATAAATTAGTTTTTACGGCTATGTAAACATAATAGGTGTAGAATGTTTACATCTATATTAACATATTAGGTGTACGTTTGTTCAATGACTGACCGTTATTATATTTTAATTAAATTAGTTCTTTTACGGCTATATAAACACATTAGTATAGAATGTTTACGTCTATATTAAACATATCAGGTTGTACGATTCGTTCAGTGACCATGACCGTTATATATTTAATAAATTAGTTCTTTTACGGCTATATTATATATATGGTGTAGAATGTTTACGTCTATATTAAACATATCAGTGTACGATTCGTTCAGTGGACCATGACCGTTATATTTATTAAATTAGTTCTTTTACGGCTATGTTAAAAATATATAGTGTAGAATGTTTACATCTATATTAAACATATTAGGTGTACGTTTGTTCAATAGACTATGACCGTTATTATATTAATTAAATTAGTTCTTTTACGGCTATATTAAACACATATAGTATAGAATGTTTAGTCTATATTAAACATATCAGGTGTACGATTCGTTCAGTGGACCATGACCGTTTATATATTTAATTAAATTAGTTCTTTTACGGCATATTAAACACAGATGGTATAGAATGTTTACGTTATAACATATCAGGTGTCGATTCGTTCAGTGGACCATGACCGTTATTAATTTTAATTAAATTAGTTCTTTTACGGCTATATTAACCCACACACACGAAGTCTTCAAAACAATAATATGGTGTAGAATGTTTACGTATATTAAACATATAAGTGTACGATTCATTCAGTGGATCATGACGATATTATTTTTAATTAAATTAGTTCTTTTACGGCTATATTAACATATATGGTGTAGAATGTTTATGTCTACATTAAATATATCAGGTGTACGATCATTCGTGGACCTAAGATATTATATTTAATTAATTAGTTCTTTTACGGCTATATAAACATATGGTGTAGAATGTTAGTCTATATTAAACATATTAGATGTACGATTCATTCAGTAGACCATGACCTATTATATCTTAATTAAATTAGTTCTTTTACGGCTATATTAAAGATATATGGTATAAAATGTTTATGTCTATATTAAACATATCAGGTGTACAATTCGTCCAGTGGACCATGACATTATTATTTGATTAAATTAGTTCTTTTACGGCATATTAAAATATATGATGGAGAAGTTTACGTCTGTATTAATATATCAGGTGTACGGTTTGTTCGTGGATTGACCGTTATTATATTTTAATTAATTAGTTCTTTACGGCTATATTAAACATATATGGTGTAGAATGTTTATGTCTATATTAAATATCAGGTGTACGGTTTGTTTAGTGGACCCTAAACATTATTATATTGTATAATTAGTTCTTTTACGTCTATATTAAAAATATGTCCATAAACATGGAAAATAAATATTGAAGTAAAATACCCTTAATCGCTTAAGCGATCTCGTCTATTTAGCCTTGGTCTACAAGAGTGCAGAGCAGATGGTTACAGAGTGTCAATTTATTATACATATTATATTTTTTATATTACTTTGTTAAAGACATAACAAAAATAATAGAATAACAATAGATTTTCAGTTTTATGTATGGTGCTGATTTACAAAGACTGAAGTGTTCTTTTCACTTCAATTGAAATGAAAAAAAATAATTAATAATTAATAAAAAAAGGACTAAATATTAATAAACATTTGGAATATAATTTCTCAATCGAGTATATTGCTTACTGCATCGTAAGCGATCCAGTATATCGCTTAAGCGATCTAGTACAAATAAGCTTGATCGCTTAAGCGATCTACTGCCATATATATGATCTCTTAAGCGATCTGTTGCATTTACCAAACTTATACCAGATCGCTTAAGCGATCTTCTGTCTATTACCAGATAACTTAAGCGATCTGGTGCCATATACTAGACTTATACTAGATCGCTAAGCGATCTTTCTGTCATATACCAGATTGCTTAAGCGATCTATAGATCCAAAACACATTTTCAGCCATTTCCACCTACAATCTATCCATCAACCCAAAACACATACCCATAACAAATTTTCAACAAATTTCACTCCTTCAACTTGCATTACATCAACAACAATTCAACAACCTAAAAAACTAAATCACAAATAATAACCCAAACCCCATCCATTATTAAATCTTTGTAAATCTAAATATAAAATGTAAAGAGGAGATACACATACTTACACGAAATATCAAGAGGAGGAGGAGGGGGATCTTTGGCAGAGAAGATGTTAATGGTGGAGGAAGAAGAAAGTGTTAATGGCGGAGGAACAAGAAGATATAGAGGAATGATGAAGAAGAAGATGTAGACGAAGAAGAAGATGCAGACGAAGAAGAAGACGTAGACGAAGCTAAGAAGAAACAGCAACCAAGGTGGAGATGCGTTAATGGCGGGAGGAAGAAGAAGGTGTTTGAGTTTGTTTACAAGAATTTCGGGGTTTTGGGAATATAGTATAATTTTTAAAAGATTACATAATACTTCATTAATCCTAATTAAGCACTAATCAAGTTTAATTACCCTTAATCAATAATATGGCTATTTAGTAAAATTTTAAAACTTGATAATCTTTTAATTAAATTCAAACTTGAAAGGTGGTTTTAATAAATTGTCCAGTTTCATATATATATATATATATATATATTACAAACTTAGGGGTGACACTCAAATGCTTGCTGGCCGAGAAGCAAACGTCATCGTTTGTGAATCTGATGTATGTTACTGCTCCTCCTGCCCCTCGCAAACAAAACCTCTGCAAGTGCGTAAAGCGTTTTTAAATTTTTTTGTTCTTATTATTCTCCGTTTTCGGTTGCTTTGCGTCGCGTCTCGCCAAAATCAGCAACGTGTAAAACAGAAAGAAAAAAAAAAAACAACAGAAACAAGAGAACACAAAATACACTCGAAACGAGAGTGAAAATACTCAGGATTCCCAAGACAAAAACAAACAAATCACCGCTCACATGTAATCATAACCATTTCTTGAATTCCGAGTCCAAACGGCGCCATTTTTCTTCAACCTACATTCTCATCTTTGGTTTATTTTTTAAAAATTACCAACGATTCTTTCCTTCAGTATCATATGGTCATGAGTGATCTTGGAGTTTGTCCCGCGCCGAGTAACAACGGCATAGTGTTGATAGAAAATCGTCTTTCTACTACAACGTCGTCGTTTCAGTCATTTCCTGCCGTTTCAAACTCAATTTCGGAACAAAATTGGGAAATTGCAGAACGAAGAACGGATGAAATTCTTTGTTTAATTAGACCGACTCTGGTTTCAGACAACAACAGAAGAGAAGTCATCAATTACGTTCATGATTTGATCACTGCGTCTCTCGGCTGTGAGGTTGTGTAGTCTCTTCATTATGCCGTCGTCGTTTTAAGCTAGTTATTATCATAATGAAGCAGTAGTGTATATTGTTATTGGTTCTTTATTTTCTGTACAGGTTTTCCCGTACGGTTCGGTACCGTTGAAGACGTATTTACCAGATGGTGATATTGATCTGACGGCTATTAGCAGCCCTAATGTTGAGGAGAGTTTGGTGGCTGATATTCATGCGGTCCTTAAAGGAGAAGAACTTAACAAGTGTTCTCAGTTTGAAGTGAAGGATGTTCATTGCATTGATGCTGAGGTTTTTTCTTGACCCAAAATTAAATATTTTAATAATTTCTTGGACAAGTTAGTTATAGCAGTTGGAGGTTATCTTTTCAAGAATGGAGAATGTCGAGATTTATGCGAATTATTAAATTTTAGGATTGGTAAGTCTTATACACAGTTAGAAGTCAAAAGAAAAAAATAACTAAAATGTTAGGGTTTGCTGAAGATTTATTAATTTCTAGGATTTATTTCATGGAGAAGTTAGATAAGGCATCCGTTTATTTAAAGAACGAGAATGTGAAGTTTTACACAACCAAAAATTAAGGAAGAAAAATAAAAAGTTAGGTTTTGTTAAAGATCTATTGATTTCTTGGATTTGTTTCATGGAGAATTTAGTCAAATAAATTATAGTTTAGTTTCTTAAGGATGGAGAATGTCAGAAGTTTCGGAAGAAAATTTTGTATTTGTTGCTTTGTCTGTCCACTTCTTCTTATGGGTGCGAAAGCTAGCAATAGTGGTGAATTTTCTAGTGATTTGGAAGATGGGAATCTCAGGGGTTAACGTGTTGGATATGTCTTTTGGGAAATTTTTGACAAAATTTGTATATTTATTATTTAAATGCAATATGCAGGGGTAGGTTATGGCAGACAAAGATTTTTTTTGTGATAAAATCAAAGGACTGATCTTTGGGGAGCTGTATCAGAAAAGCTCTATTGGGATTATCTTTGATGTTTCCTACCAAAAGGGTTGTGAACGAATTTGGATATTGGAGTATATAGATAGATACGGGGAAGGATTTAGCCAATGTGTGAGTTTGGAAGTTGAAGACATATTGTGATCTTTCATGAGGAAGGGTGATCAAATTCTCTGGGATACTTAGTGCAACTAACTGAATATGCCAGATTGTTTAATATGATTGATCAGCGTGATAGAACAATGAGAGGATGGGGCATTGTAGTACCATGGTCCATTTCCGGTTCTTAAGAATGTGACGGGTAGTGATGGGTTTATATGGACTCATTTCTTATCCGGGCTTCTCTGATCAACAACAAAAATGATGACATTACTGCATCACTCATTGGATTTCCCTCACGATTTCTGCACTCTCTATTCACGTTTACACAAAAATTTTAGAAAAATAAAATAAATTATGATTGGATAATTATAAGATTAAGACAGATAGGCTGTGAGATTTCCTTTTGGGTTTTGCAATTGTTATTGGCATTACAATTACAAAACTCTGAAATCACATGCACTTCTCATTGTATTTTTGGTACATTCCCTAATCATGCTGTGGGCTAAGTTGTCCTCATTATGCATTTTCTATTTTCTGTGTTTGTGGTTTCTAAATTGAAGAGGCTGCTGTTTGAGACGTCATTTATGTTCTATGTCTTTTATTGTGGCTAATGCTCATTTTCAGCTTTTTTGGTTTTATTTCTTAATATTTTGGTTCCTGTTGGCAGGTTAAGCTTTTGAAATGCCTTGTGCAAAATATTGTTGTAGACATATCCTTCAATCAGTTGGGAGGACTTTGTACGCTGTGTTTCCTTGAACAGGTATGGTTTTTGTTAGCCTATATAGACAGCTCTAGCATGATCAGCATGCAGTCCTTTTTTTATCATGGAATACAGTAGTTTTACCTTTAAACAAGCAATTTTAAAGAGTTAAATTAAGCATGGAATAGGTTGATTTTTGTTGTGTGTTAATTTGTTGAAAGGACCAGTGGGATGCCTCAGTTAATTATATCTTTTGATGAATGTGTTCTATTTGAACAACATTATGTGTTTTATCAAGTTATTGTGATTGGGTAATTAATGCCTCCAATCTGTTTTTTGCAATGTGGTATTTCTCATGTTGCTCTTTATGCAGGTTGATGGTCTCGTTGGCAAAAATCATCTCTTTAAGTGTAGCATTATTCTGATCAAAGCTTGGTGTTATTATGAAAGTAGAATTCTTGGTGCTCATCATGGTTTGATTTCAACTTACGCTTTAGAAACGTTGGTCCTGTGTATCTTCCATCTATTTCATTCTTCTTTAGATGGCCCTTTGGCAGTAAGTAGTTGTGGGAATCAACATGGCCAAATCTGTGCTATACAGAACTTTAAATTAATTTATGTTTTTGCATTTTGTATAGGTCCTCTATCAATTTTTGGATTACTTCAGCAAATTTGATTGGGAGAATTATTGTGTTAGTTTAAATGGCCCAGTTTGCAAATCTTCCCTAGATGTAGCAGGTATGGACTTCCTTTTGTGTTTTTGACAACTTTTTGTTTGATGGTTTAATTGATTGAATCCTCTCTCAGCAGCCAAAGAAGTACCGGAAAGCGGGATAGACAATTTATTGCTAAGTGAAGAATTTCTGCAAGAATGTGCTGACAAGTTCTCTGTTCCATCAAGGGGGCGTGAGACAAATACTCGAGCATTTCCTCAAAAGCATCTTAATATAATAGATGCTTTAAAAGAAAACAATAATCTTGGGCGGAGTGTCAACAGAGGTAGGGGAGTATTTCATTCTGCTGAAATGGGTTTGAACTAACATGTTTCTACGTTTTCTGTGCTTAACGTTTTGAGGTAACTGTTCTATCAATATTTTAGGTAGAATCTCATTTACGATCTTGATTTTTTAAAACATATTCATTTTAATGAAAAAAAAAAAAAAAGGAATCTGATTCAACGAACTTCTTTTAATGAATTTGGTTGGTTTTTTAATGAAGTGGAACTTTGAAGTTAGGCAACACTAGATTCTATTATATTTTCTGCTCTGGCAATAGGAAAAGGCCAGTAAAAGCAGAAAGTTTTAGGTGAAAGGATTGGTTTCCTTCATTCGCTTTGTTTGCATTCCATGACTATCATGGTATTACTAACTCCATTTCTATAATATCAACCAAAGAAATAGCTGCCAGTGGCAGAACTACTTCTGCAGAAAGCACCACTTCCATTAACAAATGCAATTTTTTCTGCTGTAACCTACATTACCCTTATTTTTTGGCTTCTCTAATGTCAGTTGAAAATCACATCATTGTTTTCACTATAGTACCTTTATTTTTTCATTTGATATAATTGTAGAGTCACAATGTTATTACATCACATGCTTTAATACCTTTCTTCTGATTGTTATTAAGTGCATATTGGCTCCTTCATCTCATAAAGTGCTTTAGAGTACACAATCATGTGTACCTTGCTTCTTGTTTAAGTTTCTCTTCTCGTCTGCTGTTGTGATGGACTCTGCAGGTAATTTCTATAGAATATGCAGTGCTTTTAAATACGGAGCTCGTAAGCTGGGCCAAATTCTATTGTTGCCACATGAAAGATTAGTGGATGAACTCAACAAGTTCTTTGCAAACACTTTGGAGAGACATGAAAATCAATGTTGGACTGATGGTCAAGATGGTTTTAGCAGTAATGATGATTTATCTTTAATTCAACATTCTGAAACATGCTGTGAAGATAGTAAGATTTTGACATCACTGACTCCTGATTACAGAAATAAGATTACAAGATTTAGAAATGATTCAAGCAGAGACTTGTTGAAAGTGATCCCCTCTGCTTATAAAGAAAAAGTGGATTCCTCTCAGGTTGTACCAGAATTGAATTGTACTTTAGATAGAAACAGTGTGTCAGGGAGGCATCTTGCTGAGGAAGCTAAAGGTGTGGCCATTGAAATTTTGTCCTCTAAAAATAGAAATGATTTATCTAGTTCTTTGCCTTTGAATAGCTACATTGGCATTTCACTTTTGGGGAAATCTCAACCTGCACTAGCCCTTTGCAACGAAAAGATTGACAATGGGAATCTTCATGGAAGAATACCGTTAAAATCTGTTCATATTGATGATATGAGTTTTGCTCTATGGTCTGAATCCAAAGAGAACACTTTAGCGACAAGCAGTTCATTCTGTTTGTATGGTAATCGTGAGAGTATAGTCCCAAAAAAATTGTCACTTTTGACTCCTGTTCCTAATGTCTTGGTGAATTCATCTTCTGCCTTAAGAGAGCAAAATCTGACAAGTATTTTAGGGAGCTCTGAACGTTCAAAATGCTTATTAGATCTCAGTGGAAACTATGAGAGCTACTTCAGTAGCTTGCTATATGGCAAATGTTACTATTTGTCTGCCGCTGTATTGCTCAATCCTCGCATATCACATCAGTCACAGCATAAGAGTCTCCAGGAAACTGTATGGCAATCTCTACAGTTGGAGCCTGAGGCTTATTCCAAAATGAGCAGAAATGGTGATTTGGGGCATCAATTTTACCCCTTGAATCCTTCTATGCCATCGAACTTTGCTTTTAGTTCAGGTGAAAAGAAAAAGTCCCGAGGAACAGGCACTTACTTTCCTAACATGGTATATCTGACTGTGTTTCTGGGTTCTTGTTTTCTTTTTTGAACTTTCACATAGACCTGCCATCTGTACTCATGTGCTTATGCTTATATCTTTGCAGAATTATCTTTCAAATAGGGATAGGCTATTGTCAGGGAGGGAAAGGTCTCAGGCACGTGGGAATCATGGTCAGTTGCAAAGATATAGAAATGGCTTGGTATCAGCTCCTACAAAGATGAATTTGCGTGGAGAATCTCAGGAAGAGTTTCCAGTTCTGGGCAATGGGAAGGCCAAATTCTCAGATTCTTACCAACCTCGCCCATCTGTTTGGGTTTCTTCCAATGCCAACGATATCTCCCACCCATTAGAGAGACATGAATCTCCTTCACATGGCCACCAGCTTAGAGAAGTGACCTTGCCGGAAGCAAGGACACAACCAGATTCAGACACTTCTCAGTGTGACTCTTCTTCAAGCCCTGTGGTTCCTAAATCACAATGTCCTAACTTGTCCATCAAAAGTAGTCAGGACAGGTACAAATTTGTTGCACACTAGTGAACATTTTACATTTCTCACCTGTGTTTGTTTTCTGTTTTCCAATATTCATAATGTTAATATCTGTTTCTCATCTCCTTGTCGGGTGTTTTATTATTCTTTCAACGGTTTGGGTTTTCAGGGTTAAAGAGCAATCATATCATCTGAAAAATGAAGTTGATTTTCCTCCTCTGTCCCTCCTAAGGATGGTGAAAATATAGAAGATGAATAGACTCAGCATAACTCCAGCTGCTAACAACTTGCTCAAGCTTTTGAGGAGATGTTATTTTATTTTATTTTTTTTGTATAGTCTTCTGGTTACTCTCCGTCATTTTAGATCAAAGACTTAATCAGGCATTCATTGAGTGGATGTACATAGTAGCTGATGATTGCCTGGATTGTTGTGGACATATCGAATACCTGAAAATAGGGGTGTTCAAAAGAACCGGTTGGAACCGGAACCGGCGGATACCCTGGGTTTAGTTCCGATTCCTACCCAGAACTAATCGTCAATGGGTAGGTTCCGGTTCCAAATTTTTGGAACCGTTACTGTGCGGTTCCGGTTCCAAATTTTTGGAACCGTTACTGTGCGGTTCCGGTTCCGGCTCCTATAGTTAGGAACTGGAACCGGAACCAGGAACCAGAAACTGAGACTAATATAAAATAAAATTAAATATTAGAGGGGTTAATAAAAACTTTTGTAGAAAAATTAATGTGAATACATTTATATTTATATTTCATAACAGTTAAAGTAAGTTGGTTTAACTTTTGAGAATCTACCTTTACAAAGTAATGAAGTTTGTAATTTTGAATTTATAATTTATAATTTTATTTTTGTTAACAAGTGCAGGGGGGGTGGTTTGTAAGTTTTTAAGGGTTTTTTTGCCATTTTAAAAACTTTTGGAGGGTTATTGTAATTTAATAGGGTACCTATAATCGGAACCAGAACTGGAACCGTTGTTACAGGTTCTAGTTCTGGGTACCTAGGAATCGGAACCGTCGGTTCCAGTTCTGGTTCCAAATTTCAAGGAATCGTCGGTTCCGGTTTCGGTTCTGGTTCCGGTTCCTTCAAAAAGTGTTGGGTACCCGGAACCGAACATCCCTACCTGAAAATGTTGCTTGGGATTATTGGTTCTCGGAAGCTAAAATTAGCTTCTCTCAAAGGCTAGCGTCAAAATAGTGTTTATAATTTGTTAGCTAATGCTGCCTACTTGAGAATTGCAACATAGGGTAGAGAATTTTTAGTTGTTTAAATTTATTTAAAGAAATTCCCTTGTATAGCTATGTCTCCAATTCTAATTTTCAAAATGGAGTTAACCTAAGTGCTTTTAGTTAAGAATAATAAGGACAAAATAACACATTTGTTGTTTGCCAAATGCTAGACTAGTTAATTGGTCCAAGCATAATCTGGTATTATATGTTAAGAAACATATCATTTGTTGTTTCATTAAGGGTGTAATTAGTAACTCGCTTGATTTTACGATTAAATTTGTCTTAAAAAGTAAGATTAAAAATCTGTTATATATGTCCAAACCGTATTATTTAAGCTATGAAGATCCTTGTAACTCTTCAGACAAAATACACCACATTTCTTTATCTTGAATACTTATGTAATTAATAAATTAATATTCTCTGAAATCATTATAGTGCATATATGCATTTAAGGAAATGGAAACTAAATCCAATACATACTTAATTTGTATTAATTTCACATCTAGTAATCTGAATCATTGATTCTTAGAAGTTATTCGATATAATTTAATAATTAATAAAAAGTACATGGAATATTACGTATCAAACAAACAATACACTTGATCTAATATGAATTATCTAAACATAAGAAATTCCTGTATGCTAAAAAGAAAATATAAATCACATTTTTTTTTATAATAAAACATTTAATACAATCAACAATTTAGAAAAAAAAAAAAAGAAATTCACTTACTGTTTACTCAATTAACCCTAATGCTATTGAGTACCCTTTGCTCGGTCAACAATTAAATGATTAAATCTTCTCATAAAAGAATAACACGGTTTGTGCAAAAAAATGCACTTGGACCAATGTTGTGTGAAAGGTCTACACGGAATAGATTCACTCAAACTAGGAGATACTACTAATTTGATATCACTCAAAGAAGATTCGTTAATGTAGGGGGTGCCGATGGGAGATTCTAGACCAAAACAATCTGAGAATAGAGAATTTAATGTCAGAAGTATAGCTTACCTTTCTCGCCTCCCTTGGGGATTATATTTGTTTGCCCCTAAACATGAGAAGGGTTTTAGGGCTATATTGCTATGATTTGGGTGACATAATGGCGCATAACATGGTGGCTAATAGTCACATTTTGGCTGGAAACGTTTGAAGTGGTGGAGAAGTTAATCTCCTACAACCAACAATGAGTTGGCTGGTAAAAGCTTGACGTCAAGGGTTTGCTCCTCTTTTTCAGATTCGAATCACAAGAACGACTGTTATATTGTTACTCACGGACCACAGGACTTGCCTTGTTTCGAAAATCTTGTTCGGAGTTGAAGGACTAAACCTTGTTCATGGTCGAAAGATTATTCGGGGTATGCATAAGTTGACTCGACACTCCAATAAAAAATTAAAAAAAAAAAAAAAAAAAAAAAAAAGAAGGTTAATCTCCTATAGTTTAGGTAATAGGAAGTGGACTTGGAGTAGAAGACAAATAGATTATGGTTTGCTAGAGATTATATCTCCTTCGTATTGATATATTGGGGCATCATTTGGTTGACTTCTCGAGCTGTTTTATAGCCCAAGAGATTAGCGAGCTAAGAAAATTAAGCCGACAACTGTTTTATAGCCTTCCAATTCATCATCAACACCCCCCTCCTAAAAAAAAAAAAATCAACTCATATAACTATCTCATATTTCCTGTTATAATTTTGCTTAAGTTTATTTGCGTGAGTGCTTAGAAAATTGAGGAAATATTTTGAAATTAATAAACCATAGTAAAAGCCTACTATTTAAGACAACATCACCATTTCTAGTACAATAGTTGAGTTCTCGGTAGATCGACTTTCTTATTATTATTTAATGTATCCATGTCCAATTATAATATATTCTTATATAATTTTAATTTGTTAGGATTTGTTAACTGATATGAAGAAAACTAGGGGTGAGCACAGACAATGGATAGAACTGAAACCTAGTGGTAGAATCGAACCAACACTGTACGGGTAGGTTTTGGTTCCTTGAACCGATACTGTGCGATTCCGGTTTCGGTTCCTACATTGTAGGAATCAGAACCGGAACTAGAACCTAGAAAAAAGAACCTGTAGTAGGTACACAGCTTGGAACCTACATGGGTATCCGTTTGAACCTGCTGGGAACTGATGCAAGTACCCGGATTAGAACCTGTTTTAGAACATGGGTTGAAATAAAATATCTTGAAGAATGGGGGTCTACGTAATTTCATCATAAAAAAAATTAAAATGGAAAAAGTTAAATTTTTGCAATAACCTAATTAATAATATATAATTATACGTATAAACTACACCATATAAAAACTTTAATATATATAATAACCTAATCAAATATTATACATATATAGTAATGTATACTGTACTAGTGTACTATATATATATATATATATATTATATATATATATATTAAAGTTTTGATTAATTAATTGTATAATTAAATTAAGATCAAATTAAAAGTGTTTTAATGTTATTAAAAATTATTTTTTAATAAAATAGTATATTTGATTGAAAATATATAATATTTAATTATTACTTTAATTATCAAGTTCTAAATATTCTATAGGAAATTAGTAATTAATTAATTATATATGATAAATTGATAAACATTAATACATTACTAGTTAAAAGATTATTTAATTATATACATTACATTATAGTTAAATGATTACTTAATTAATTATAACATTACATATAAAAACAATGATTAGTATGATCACAAAATTAATTATAACATTCATAATTAGATGATTGCTTCATCAATTATGACATTATGTTTTAAACATTGTATTTTACTAAATTAGTACAATATTTAATTAAATGATTAGAAATTTAATCAATTATAACGTTATATTATAGATTTATAGTATGATTACTTAATTAATTATAATATTATATTATAAACAAATTATTACTTAATTAATTATAACATTACATTATAATATGACCACCTAATTAATTATAACATTACATAATTAATGATTATTTAATTAATTATGATATTATATTATAAACATTAGTAAATAACTACGTTAGTACAATACTTGATTAAATGATTAGAAGCTTAATTACTTATAACATTACATTATAGTTAAATGATTATTTAATTAATTATAAATTTAAAATATTAAATTATAAACATTAGTAATTAATTAAATAATTAGAAATTTAATTAATTAAAACATTATATTGTAGTTAAATAATTACTTAATTAATTATAAAATTATAACATTACATTATAAACATTAATAATTTATCACATTAGTACACTACTTAATTAAGTGATTAAAAATTTAATTAATTATAACGTTACATTATAAATTTATAGTATGATTACTTAATTAATTATAACATTACATTATAAATATTAGTACAATACTTATTTAAATGATTATAAATTTAATTAATTATAATATTACATTATAGATTTATAGTATGATTATTTAATTAATTATAACATTATATTATAAACATTAATAATTTACTGTATCATTATATTAAATTAAATGGTTACAAATTTAATTAATTATAATATTACATTATAGATTTATAGTATGATTATTTAATTAATTATAACATTACATTATAATATGACCACGTAATTAATTATAATATTAAATTATAGTTAAATGATTACTTAATTAATTATAATCATTTAATCAATTATAACATTGCATAGTTAAATAATAAATGATTACTTAATTAATTATAAATTTTTAAAATTACATTATAAACATTAGTAATTAATTAAATGATTAGAAATTTAATTAATTAAAACATTATATTGTAGTTAAATAATTACTTAATTAATTATAACATTATTTATAATATAATCACTTAATTAATTATAACATTACATAGTTAAATGATTACTTAATTAATTATAAATTTATAACATTACATTATAACATTACTTAATTAATTGATTGAATTCAAGTGTTGCCTAAAGATTAGAGGATTTATGAGTCACACTGGACACAAATAAATGAGTAATTAAAATTTATTAGTGGTATATTTGTAAACTTTTAAGGTATTTTTATCATTTTTTAAACTAATAGGGGGTAATTAATTTTTTAAAGGGTATCCGGGTAAGGAACCGAAATCTGCTTTTCAGGTTCCGGTTCATTTTTTTTGGGAATTTGCGTTGTATGGTTCTGATTTCAGTTCCCCCAAAAAATGCAGAGTACTTGGAATCGCCCACCCCTAAAAGAAAACTACTATCAATTGATCTCTTTAAACAAAAATATTATTTTTATTATGCGTTAAGGGTAATTATATTATTTTTTTTGATAGATTATTAGTAGGGAGATTTAACACCATTTTAAAGCAATAAAGACTAGATGGTAAAACAACAAAACTTTGTAACTGTTGCATAATTGAATCACAAATATATTAGTAGTAAAGTAGAGCAAATTCCCAACTAGCACCAGTGGTCTAGTGGTAGAATAGTACCCTACCACCGCACAAACCGGGTTCGATTCCCGGCTGGTGCAATCTAATTCAAGCTGTTAAGAGGTTTGTGCCCCTTGTGATAGGGTCTATCACTACCATCTCTGATCCGTTCGACGAAAACGGTACATCTGAGCTTGATGGTTCCTTTCACATTTTTAAGTTTACTATTTTGTTCAATCAAATTTTATTATAATATATTATTTTTACATGTTTGACGTTTATTATTTGATTCAATTACATTACTGAAGATTTGAGTATAATATAATAAAAGCCAAAATGAAGTTGTGAAAATGCCATATGACGAGTGGGGTCTGAATCGGTGACAAATTGTTGGGAGTTAATCACAATTCATACTGACTAAATACAATTAATCCTTTCATTCTCAATAATTAATTTATTAATAAATTATTATATGATTTCCTATGACCCTAAAATCATGTTATCTTCAGTCTTCAGTTATCATAAGAATAAGTTTTATTTTAAACTTTATGACTAATTAATAATATAATTATATGAGAATTGTTATTAACTCTTTCTTACTCACTCTTTATAACACCTTTTTTCTCTTTTCAAGCTATGTGTGCGCCATATTTAGATACTGCCAATCGATCCAGTAATATTGATAGTGTTCATATGGTATTAAACTTGGGTATTCCTTATGCTTGTGCTCAATGTTTAATCAAAATAGTGTTCAGTTTGAAGATTTGGGTACGTGAATTTGCTTCATTCAATTGACTCTTATTGTTAATAAGAATGAACTAGTCGTGTCCAATATATCGTGATTGTCTTTTTTTCTCAATATTTTATAGAATCCGTTAATATCTTCTACTGATTAAGCTTGTTCAATTAAACCCACATGATAAATAGGTTAAATTTTAAAATAATAAATAATTTGTGCTGCAAATGAGAAGATACACTAAGAAAGGAAACTTGTACACGGCAGGTAAAGTAAATAGTCAACCATAAAATATAATTGGTAGGTGAGTCTATATCATAAGATAAATAATTAAATGAAATGAATCAAAAGTGGATAAGAAGAGAATTAGTGGAGGGAGTATTTGAAATGAAAATAACATTACTCAAGGAAAGCTGAAAGAAGATATTGGATTTTGTCAACACACCACTTTATTTCAAACACTTGGTTTTCCTTTCTGCACTTATACACGTCCCATCACATCATGTGGACCTTGGGCGGCCCAACTTATTTAGTACTCATCACCCTTCTAATAATTAATATTTTTTTTAAATTAATAAAATTTTCTTGTATAGTTGAAATATTATATTTATAATGGAATCATATAATCAAACAAAATATAAAAGGAGTAGTTATTTTACATAAATTTTATGTAATTTTTGTTTTATATGATTCAATTATAAACAAATCATTATTGAAAAATGTTTATAGTAGTGAGATAAGTATTCTATCCATTAAAAAAAAGAGTCTAACCTGGCTAGTAAAAAATTCCAAATCACAATTTGATCAATAGATTATACATATGTATAATGGTAAGAAATTAAAAATAAATTAAAAGAATAATGATAAGATAATACAATATAATCTTAATGTGTGAGCAAATATTGCTACTCTTTTCAATACCAACCAAAATTATTTACAATCTTCCACAAACCTATCATGAAACAACAATTTTTCCATCCTGAGTTCAGGAAACTATCAACGTCCCACCCGATGTTAGTATCTGTTATTGAAATATGATCTCCGACACAATAAGCAGCCTGAGTAAAGACGAAATTGACCATTAATCATTGATTTTTTTTTTTCTAAAAAAAAAAAAAAACCTTAAGATAGGATATTATGGGGACATGTAAACTAACTAATATCTTCCTGATAAGCAATGGATTAACAGACAAAATACTTAGGTTGCATTCATTTATAATCTTAGCTTTTTATTTTCGTTTTTGGGGCTTTGAAATTTGCACAAATTGCATTCATTTAGCGTTTTATTAGAAGTCCAATCGAAAAAAAAAAAGAAAAGAGACTACATAGAGAGAAAGATTACTTCACCTTTTTCAATTAAAATTTAATATTTAATAAAAAAAATATATTCTCTTTCTCTTTCCTAAAATAAAAACATTCATTTAAATCGAGAATTTTAACAGAGATTTACAAATGGAAATTAACCACTGACATATTTGACATGTATCTCTAGACAAAAAATGGAAAAAGAAATTATTAAAGCATATTTAGCAACCAAAATAGAATTATTAAAACATTGTTTTTAAAAACAAATTATAAGTACTGTAAAACCCTATAGGATAATATAGAAATATTTGCGGAACAGAAACTTTTACCAACCCAAACAAGTCATGAACATACAACACCAACAAAGATAAACAATAAAAGAGAATGATGCTAAACAATAAAAATAAATAATGCTAAGTAATAAATGAGAGAGAGTTATAAATATGAGCAATGAATGAAAGCAAATGATAATGCTTCAAGTAAATATGCAATGAATAATAAATAATTTGAGAGAGAAGAAATGTTCATAGATTTATAGTGGTTCGAAACTCTATCCACAAGCCTCTGACATCCACTTTTTCAAGGCAACCTCCTTGAAGTTCCACTAAAATCAGATTGCGCCAAATACACTAGTTTGACAGGATTTCGGCTCTTTACAATAGTTTTAACATGATTTTGCATCTAGATTTACAAGATTTCTCCTACAAAGTGTTTGAATAAAAGTGTGAGAAAGATTGTCTCTTTAACTAGGCTTGAAGACACAATAAGAACAATACTCTCAAATGTTTTCAAATGGATACAAGAGAGTGATGATTTGATTTGGATTTTTAGCTCAAGGCATTATGTGAGAATGTTTTGATATGACTTTGAATCTCTGATATTCTTTCTCTATCTTTCTTTGCAATAAAATGCTCTATTTATTGCTTGACTTCTCCCCTTTGAGGTAAAGAGTTGTTACTGCATTTAATGCAATTTTAGAAAGCTTACAGACATAGAAGAACGGGCATTCCATTATCGCTCGTTCCTAATACCAATTGTCATTTTGTACAGCTTTAGGGTTTCAGGTATGGTCATTCCACCATCACGAGCGGTCATTCCATCACGGGGAACGGTCGGTCCATTGGCTCCTTAAAAATCAATAAGAATTCTAGAATCATGCATGACTTTTTGGAATGTTGATGTTGTCACGGCCCCATCTTACCGGAGGCACGGCTGGAAACTCATCCCACTCTTCGTGACTCTAAGGAATATCTCCTCCCCCCCCTTAAGGGTACTCACCATGCTTCCCAATTGACTATAGCCCCTTGGTCTTGGGTTCGAGTGGTGAGGGAGGCAAAAGAAATCCCTTAAAAGGGGGGGGGGGGGGATGATATTCCTTAGAGTCACGAAGAGTGGGATGAGTTCCCGACCGTGCCTCCGGTAAGATGGGGCCGTGACAGATGTTTAGCTAAGAACAATCTTTGAGTGTAAACGGTCATTCCACCATAGGGAATGATCGTTCCAAATAGTTGAGCTTCAACTTGATTTTCAAGGCTTGTCTTCCAAGATTTGTCAAAGGTGCGCGACGTTCTAAGTACTTTGACTTTTTACTTGGATGGAACGGGCATGCTGCTTGGTCATGCTGGTGTGAGCGACTTGACTCCATTTTGGGTAGAAGCATGCACGATCACATTTGTGCTAAGAGGAACGTGCATCTGGGAAACTTTGTGATACAAGGAACAATCGTTCCTTTAAAAAAAAAGGTGTTCGTCTAAATTTTTTATCCTTAATCCAGTTATAACATACTATTACACAATGACTATTTCTCACATATATAAATCCACATTAAATTCTTCAATTAGACAATGTGTGCAATCCTCTCGCCAACTTGACGTCTCCCGACCACTACAATCTAATACCTGCAAAAATAAGGAAAGCAACGAGGTGAGATATACATGCTCAGTAAGTAAATCAAATCTAACTATATTCTTACTTCGCTATCCCCGTTTTCGCTGTACTGCTTCTAAATTTATGCTTGCTTTCTCTCTTTATTCTCAGGCGTACTACTTAACAGTATTCCATTTTTCTCAAATCTTTCTAAATCCTTCTAGGGTTGCGCTATTCTTTATCATTTTATTTCTCTTCTATGCTAGATTATAACTTTCTATTTCTTTCTCTACTCAACAAATCGCTAAGTTTCCTTGCTATTTGTCATGTTTCTAATTTATGTTCTTTTCTATCATGTATCTAATTTATGTTCTTTTTTTGTATATCTCTAATTTCTTTTCTATTCTAGTAGACTTCTATTTTCTTTTCTTCTCTGCTCTCGTGGGCTTCTATTTTCTTTTCTTTTCTATTCTCATCGGTTTCTATTTCTTTTCTTCTCTGCTTTCATGGGCTTCTATTTTTCTTTTCTTTTCTATTCTCATGGGCTTCAATTTTCTTATCTTGGCTAGTTAGACACGCAATAATAAAATAAACTGTTTAATCTATGCATAAATGCATGAGATGCAATGCACATAAAATGTCTGATGCATGAGATGCAATGCACATCAAATGTTTGATGCATATGCAAATGATCATGTTTGTATTCTTTCTGAAAATTCTTTTCTAATTCTTTATGAAATTCTTTCTCTTTCTTTCTGAAATTCCTTTTGAAATTCTTTTTGTTTTCTATTTCTTATTCTATTTTTTCTTTCTTTATGAAATTCTTTCTATATTCTATTTCTCATTCTATTTTTCTTTCTTTTTGAAATTCTTTCTGTATTATATTCTGGTTTACCGATCGGACTAGGCTAAGGCATGGATTTGGAACCCTGGCCATGTGAGCGTATTCTAAAATTCTTTCTAGGTACAGTCCTCATCCACATGCACTTCTGGTGGACTGTACAATTCTGTTTTCTATTCTGAGGCCGCTCACTGATGGCGGCGTGCATGTGGGAAACTTCTGCATTTCTGTCGCCACTAACAAATGCAGCGAATGCTCACAGGTTCCCCATCGCAACAGCCCTCTGAAAACATGCTCTGTAAATATGCAAAATAACTAGCTAGACATTTTCCAATAATTTTAAATTTTCTGAAATATATGCTATGCTATGTCATGCATGTATATGCTGTCTATGCATGATCCCAAAATACGTGTCTGACTCTGGCATGTATTCTATTAATTCTAAGGC